AGAGAAAGCCCTTAGGCACGGGGCTGCACAGGAGGATGCAGAGAAAGGCCTTAGGCGCGGGGCTGAACGAGAGGAAGCTCCACCTAGGCTTCACTTGAACACATGGAGAGCCGCCAATGGCTGGTGCATCATGTTGACACTTGGAAAACTTCAATTAAGGACTGAGCTTGGTGGCACAAGCCTGTCACCTCAACTGGGAACAGACAAGGGAACTACAATTGCTGGAAGCTGGCCAGCCTGGTTAACATCGAGTTCTAGGCCAGGCAGGGGTACACAGTGAAACCACACCAAGCCAAAAGCAGCCAGGTATGGTGGGGCACACCTTTAATCCCAGAGTACAGGAGGCAGAAGTGAGGACCTCGATGAGTTCAGGGTCAACTAACTTGGTCGGTCAGGTGATTTTCAGGTCAGCCAGGACAATCCTGTTAGACCCTGCCTGGTGGGTGGGATGGCTCAGTGGCTAAGGACGTGTGCCGTCAAGGCCAAGCCCAGAAACCCTCGTGGTGAGAGCCAGCTCCCACAAGTTGTCTTCTGAGTTCTACATCTCACACGATAAAAATAAAAACTAATCCGGGGGAGCTTGAGAGGCACACTGCAGTTCTCCAGGTGGGATGTATGCGGGAGTGGATAGAGGGGAAGGTTTTTGAAAGCGTTCAGAACTTGCCCTGGCAGAACTGATAACGAGCTTTGGGCCAAAAGGAACGTCTTCCCAGCCCGTGTAACAAGGCAGAAAAGCATCCCACCAGCTGACTTGAAGTCTGAGCAGAAAAGTGGTTAAGGAAATACCAACTGAAATCAATTTGGGGAATGAACTAACAGGCTGTCAAGTAATTTTTCCCCTCTACAGACAGCACAATTCGACATAATTCCTATTTAGTTCAAGTTCATTGTACTAGGGGTTGGTGGCGGAGTTTGGCAGCTTGTTTGCCGGCATGCAGGAGGCTCTGGGTTCAAAGCTCTGCCCTGCAAAACAAACACAGCAATGGGAGGGAAAAGCTGCTGATTGCCCCTCACCTGCAACAGGCACCGTCCTTAATCTGCTAGGTTTTAATGTTTGAGGAGCCTGGTGGTGGTGGCGCACACCTTTAATCCCAGCACTTGGGAGAAAGAGGCAGGCGGATCTCTGTGAGTTCGAGGCCAGCCTGGTCTACAAGAGCTAGTTCCAGGACAAGTTACAAAGCTACTGAGAAACCCTGTCTCAAAAAACAAAAAAACAAACAAAACGAAACAAAGGAACAAAGCCAGAGGTAGGGATCCAGAAGTTGGCCTACCTGTCAGGTAAAGGTCAGCCTCCACTCCTTGTAGAACGCTGCCCCCAGAACCAGCGCACAGGGCCACAACTTTGACTGGGGACTCTTCAAGACAAAAACAAGAGGCGTTGTTATAGAGAGACATAACTCCTTTCAGCTCAGCGCTCCAGTCTGTGCTGAATCCTAACCCCAATGCAGACTGAGTAGTCTCTTCACCAGTGTAAGAATCATGCTGTCTTGATTTTAAAGATGGGTCTTATGGGGCACACCTTTAAGCTCAGGAGGCAGAGGCAGGTGGATCCCTGTGAGTTCAGGGCCAGCCTGGTCTACAAGAGCTAGTCCCAGGACAGGCTCCAAAGCTACAGAGAAACCCTGTCTCGAAAAACCAAACAACAACAACAACAAAACAAAAGAACCCAGGCTGTTAGAAATGTATCAGGCACCTCTTCCTCTCTTTCTTAAAGACAGGCTCTAGGATATAGCCTTAGCTGAATTCACACAGACACAGCCCAGAGGTCCACCTGCTTCTGCCAGGTGCTAGAAGTAAAGGCGTGGACTTGTCACCCCGGCAGGTTTACAACTGTTACCTGGTGATTTAAAACCCTCTGTTCCCTTTGCAACAGTGGTCCATTTATAATTCACAGATATCCACTGCTGACTGGAGAGGAACACAGAAAACTAGGAAATACATTCTATCAATTAGGCTAGGGAAATGGATCCCACATTACAGTCCAGCCCACCTTAGCTGACAAGGTAGACCCACTATCTCCCTGAGTGACGTGTTCTCTACACTCACATGAATAAAAGCGGTACACCTGCAACCCCAGCCCCTGGGAGACAGAAGCCGACGGAGTCCGAAGCCAGCCTATGCTGAGATCAGGTGTCAAAAATAACCAGAACCAAAATTTGTCCAAGTCTCTGTCGATCTGCTAGCTATGAAAAATATTTACCCAAGGTCTTCCCTACTCCGAGAGCTAAGCGGACATGAGATAACTTTAGGTGTCCTTTGATCCGCTCTATCATTGTTGCCAGGGAGACAGCTTCATCCAGTGTGCACAGCCGTCCCATTCCAGTATCCAGAAGCAGAGGCTGGAGAGAAACAAGTCAGAAGCATTATCTATCCAAGCATATCCTAAGGAATGCATAGAACAACTGGAACCGGCAAGGTTTGTGGACAGAAGCTCGTGGTACCTTAGGCTGAAGTTTGGGGTGCAAACCTACAAAAACACTAACTTCTGGGAGCTCACAGCCTGCGAGGTATCTAACACAAAATCAAAACTAAGTTTTTAAATTCGAGGTAGGCGCTACTGTTATGGGAACAGCTAAGCTTCCAACTTGTGAAAACTCCCAAGGCATTTTCTTTTCCTGAAAAGCAACAACTATCCAAGCTTCTGCGGATGTGATTGAGGGGGCCAGGCTCCACCTCACGTGGGCGGCTGAACTTGGCGGTGTTGTCCACGTAGTTCTAGCTTTAGCATCCTGAAAGGTACCCTAAAGACGGCACGGAATCTTCCTCCGTGGCGGCTCACAACCATTTACAGTGATAGCCGGCGCCCTCTTCTGGCATAAAGGCACATATGCAGGCAGAACACTACAGAATAAATAAATAAATCGTTTTAAAAATATGTGGTAGTGGTCTTATTCTCGTCCAGTGGAATCAACAAGAGAAGTGTGTGGCAATCAGGAAAGCCAGAAGGGAGGAGTCATTAAGGCCTTCGAGACCAGATGTGGAGCTTTGATTTTTTTTTTTGTTTGTCTGTCTATATTATTGATTTTCTCAAAGAACCAACTCTTTGTCTCATTGATTCTTTGTATAGTTCTTTTTGTTTCTATTTTATTGATTTCAGTCCTCACTTTGATTACTTCCTGTTGTCTACTTCTCCTGGGTGAGTTTAATTTTTTTTTTTATCTAGAGCTTTCAAGTGTGCTATTAAGTCATTAGTGTGAGATTTCCTCAAATTCTTTATGTAGGCGTTTAGTGCTATGAACTTTTCTCTTAGCACTGCTTTCGTATTGTCCCATGAGTGTGGATAGGTTGTGTTTTCATTTCTTTGAATCATAGGCAATCTTTAATTTCTTTCTATTTCTTCCCTGACCCAGTAGTGATTCAGTTGAGCATTGTTTAGTTTCCATGAAACTGAACTTAAATTAAAGACTTCCCAAAATTCAATGAAAATGACCAGAAAACATCCCAAACTTATGGGACACAATGAAAGCAATGTTAAGAGGAAAGTTCATAGCACTAAGTGCCTGTATAAAGAAGCTGGAAAAATCCCACACTAGCGAATTAACAACGGACCGGAAAGCTCTATAACAAAAAGAAGCAAACTTACCCAGGAAGACTAGACGACAGGAAAAATCAAATTGAGAGCTGGAATCTTTTAGATACAAAGAAAACAATACAAAGAATCAATGAGACAAAGAGTTGGTTCTTCACCAAAATCAACAAAACAGACAAACCTTTATCCAAACTAACCAAAAGGCAGAGAGAGAGAGAGAGAGAGAGAGAGAGAGAGAGAGTATCCAAATTAACAATCAGAAATGTAAAGGTACACATAACAACAGATACAGAGGAAATTCAGAGAATCATCAGGTCATACTTCAAAAACCTATAATCCACAAAATGGAAAACTTGAAGGAAATGGACAATTTTCTGGATAAGTACCAATAGCAAAATTAAGTCAAGACCAGACAAGCAAATTAAATAGACCTATAATCACTAAGGAAATAGAAGCAGTCATCCAAAGTCTCTCAACCAAAAAAAGCCCAGGACCAGATGGTTTCAGTGCAAAATTCTACAAGATTTTCAAAGAAAAACTAATACCAATACTCCTCAATTTTTTCCACACAATAGAAACAGAAGGAACTATTTTTATTATTATTATTATTTATGCCAAACTCTTTTTATGAAGCAACAGTTACCCTGAAGTCCAAACCACACAAAGACAGAACTAAGAAAGAAAATTGTAGCCCAGTCTCCCTCATGAACATTGATGCAAAAATACTCAATAAAATACTGGCACACCAAGAACTCACCAGAAAAATCACCCACCATGACCAATAGATTATGAAAAAGCCTTCAACAAAAATCAGTACCCCTTCATGATAAGGGTCTTGGAGAGATCAGGGATACAAGGAACATTTCTAAACATGATAAAGGCAATATACAGCAAGCCAACAGCCAACATCAAACTAAATGGAGAGAAACTCAAAACAATTATACTAAAATCATGAACAAGACAAGGCTGTCCATTCTCTCCATATCTTTTCAATGTAGTACCCAAAGCTGTAGTTAGAGCAATAAGACAACAAAAGGAGGCCAAGGGATACAAATTGGAAAGGAAAAAGTCAAATTTTCACTATTTGCAGATGATATGATAGTATAGTGACCTCAAAAGTTCTACCAGGGAATTCCTACAGCTGATAAATACCTTCAGTAATGTGGCAGGATATAAAATCAACTCAAAAAAATCAGCAGCCCTCCTATATACAAATGATAAACTGGCTGAAAAAGAAATCAGGGAAACATACCCTTTACAATATCCACAAATAGTATAAAATATCTTGGGGTACCTGTAACCAAACAAGTGAAAGGCCTATATGAGAAGAACTTTAAGTCTCTGAAGAATAAAATTGAAGACTCCAGAAAATGGAAAGATCTCCTATGCCGTTGGATACGAGTATCAATATAGTAAAAATGGCAATCTTTAGATTCAATGTAATCCCCATCAAAATCCCATCACAATTCTTCACAGACCTCAAAAGAACAACATTCAACTTCATATAGAAAAACAAAAAAAAAACTCAGGACAGCCAAAACAATCCTGTCTATAAAGGAACCTCCGGGGACATCACTGACCCTGACTTCAAGCTATACTGTAGAGCTATAGCCATAAAAACTGTTGGGTGTTTGCATAAAAACAGACACATGATCAATGGAATTGAATCAAAGACCCTGACATAAATCCACATACCTACGGATGCCATGGGAGCTCCTTTTTCCGATAGCCTTTAAGATACCAGCCCACCTGGGCGTGGTCTCTTATACTATAAATGCAGCTGTAAAGTCTGCGCTTGCTCTCTTTGCCTCCGGCTCCTAGACTCTGTTCCTGTTCATGCAGAGCACTGTGATCTAGGACAGCGATCCGTGAGTCTCCCTTAAATAAATAACCCTTCATTATACGTAATTCTGAACTAGTGTGGGATTATTCTGTATCTTCCGCCATCAAAGGAACACCTTAATTTTGACAAAGAAGCCAAAATGTGCAATGGAAAAAAGAAAGCATCTTCAACAAATGTTGCTGGCATCACTGGATATCAACATGTAGAAGAATGAAAATAGATCCATGTCTATCACCGTGCACAGAACTCAAGTCCAAGTGGATCAAAGACCTCAACATAAATCCAGTTACACTGAATCTGATAGAAGAGAAAGTGGAAAGTACACTTGAATGCATTGGCACAGGGAACCACTTCCTAAATATAATCCCAGCAGCACAGACACTGAGAGAAACAATTAATAAATGGGACCTCCTGAAACTGAAAAGCTTCTATAAAGCAAAGGACACAGTCCCCAAGACAAAACGACAGTCTACAGAATGGGAAAAGATCATCACCAACCCCACATCTGACAGAGGGCTCATTTCCAAAATACATAAAGAATTCAAGAAGCTAAACATTAAAATACCAAATAATCCAATTTAAAAAAATGTGGTACAGAGAATTCTCAACAGAAGAATCTAAAATGGCTGAAAGACACTTAAAGAATTGTTCAACATTCTTAGTCATAAGGGAAATGCAAATCAAAACAACTCTGAGATTCCATCTTACACCTGTCAGAATTGCCAAGATCAAAGACACTGATGACAACTTATGCTGGAGAGGTTGTGGGGGAAAGGGAACACTTCTGCATTGCTGGTGGGAATGCAAGCTGGTACAATCCCTTTTGGATGTCAGTGTGGCGATTTCTCAGAAAATTAGGAAACAACCTTCGTCAAGACCCAGTAATGTCACTTTTGGATATATATCCAAAGGATGCTCAATTGTGCCACAAGGACATGTGTTCAACTATGTTCATAGCAGCATTATTTGTAATAGTCAGAATCTGGAAACAACTTAGATGCCACTCAACTGAAGAATGGATAAAGAAACTGTGGTACATTTACACAATGGAGTACTACTCAGCAGAAAAAAAATAACGATATCTTGAAATTTGCAGGCAAATGGATGGATCTAGAAAAAAAACATACTGAGTGAGGTAACCCAGACACAGAAGGACAAAAATAATATGTGCTGTCTCATAAGTGGATATTAGACACAAAGCAAAAAACAACAACAACAAACCAACCTACATTCCACAACCCCAGAGAACCTAGACAACAAAAAGGACCCTAGGAGAGACATACATGGATCTAAATAGGAAGGAGAAAAAGACAAGATCTCCTGGGTAAATTGGGAGCATGGGGGGCAGGAGGAAGGGTGGAAGCAGAGAGGGGAGAGGAAGGCAAGTGAGGAAACATGTATAACTCAACAAAAACAATTTTAAAAATGGACAGCAATAATAAGAGAAAGAAATTTTACCTTCTCCAGGGACAGAATTTCAGTTTTCTGATAAAGTTGTTGGTTCTGGGAGAGAAAGGCCAGCACCTGCATCAATGTTTTCCGAGTACAGTTCAGGCTGATCCGTGTCTCCTCCTCACCATCACGCCTAGAAGAAAACCAGCTGTTTGACTACGATCATGTATTTTAAATACCCAACAGACTGTACCTGCTACAAAAATTTATATGAAACCAAAGATGTGATCAGCAGAACGTGTTTAATCCTAACCAAACTACAGCTGGCACCCCTGACATCACATGGAACCGTGTTCTCAAACCACAGCTGTCTCAGGACCCATGACATCACATGGAACCGTGTTCTCAAACCACAGCTGTCTCAGGACCCATGACATCACAGGGAACCGTGTTCTCAAACCACAGCTGTGTCAGGAACCATGACATCACAGGGAACCGTGTTCTCAAACCACAGCTGTCTCAAGACCCTCTGACATCACATGGAACGGTGTTCTCAAACCGCAGCTGTCTCAGGACCCCCTGATATCTTACGCCTACCAGATTAAAATAACAGTGGCTAAATCCTACAAGTGTCCAGTAAAACAGACCATCTATAATAAGAGAGAGAAAATGGAATTTTTTCTTTTTACATGTATGCGTACATGCATGCGTGTGTGCGCACATGACACAGTGTGCACTGTGTAGTTGTGGACCAGCGGACAGCTTATGGGAGTTGATTCGTCTTTCTACCATTCAGGTTCCAGGGGTTAAAACCAAGTCCCGTCAGGGTTGGTAGCAACCCCTGGTAGCAAGTGTCTTCACTTCACCCTTTCAGGGTGATTTTCAGTGACTGAATCCAGCTCACACAGGATAGGGATGAAGCCACAAATCCGCATTTACAGTAAGTACCATAGAGGACAGAGTCCTTAGGCTGCATTCTGAGAAGCAGGGCTCTAGAGATTCTCAACACAAAGTGATATCAGGAGCTTTATAGGCAAGCATGGGATCAGGTGTCTGTAATTCCACCACTAAGGCTAAGGCAGAAGGAGCTTGCTGAGGTTAAGGCCGGACTGCACCATACAGCCAGAGCCTGCCTCCAAACAAAAACAAGACACCTACAGAGTCTTACGGATTATAGAGTTCTAAAAATAAAAGACACCTTAAAAGGTAACCTGACCTGGTGGGGTGGCACGTGCTTGTAATCCTAGCAATTGGGAAGCAGAGGCAAGATCAAAAGTTAGAGGCCAAGCTGGGCTACATGGGACTTGGGCTATCTAAAAGTCAGACAAGTCAAACGCGGTGATGAACACCTTCGATCCTGGCTCTCGGAAAGCAGAAGCAGGGGATCCTTGTGAATTCGAAGCCAGCCTGATCTACAGAGCGAGTTCTAGGACAGCCAGAGGTATATAGTGAGATAGTGAGACCGGGCGTAATAAATAAATAAATAAATAAATACCAAAACAATATGTAAAACAACACTGTATTTCTTTATATTCCTATCTATGTATGTTTGGAAGGATACCCACTTCTCAGCTGGGTGGGATGTCACATGACTACATCATTTTTGGAAGGCTGAGGCAAAAGGATCAGAAGTTTGAGGCCAGGGCTGGCGAGATGTCTCAGTGGTTAAGAGCATTGCCTGCTCTTCCAGAGGTCCTACGTTCAATTCCCAGCAACCACATGGTGGCTCACGACCATCTGTAATGAGGTCTGGTGCCCTCTTCTGGCTTTCAGACATACACACAGACAGAATATTGTATACATAATAAATAAATAAATATTAAAAAAAAAAAGAAGAAGTTTGAGGCCAGCGTGGGCTACAAGGCAAGTTCCAGGACAGCTAGGGCCATTACATAGAGAAACCCCGTCTTGAAAAACAAAAACAAACAAACATCACTAGGGTCTGACTACATCCTTTAAAGGGAAAGTAAAAACAGTTATCTTTCGGGGTTGCCAGGGAAGTGAAAATGCTCTCTGCAGGGCTGCAGGATGGCTGAGCACAGGCTGCCTTGCAGAGCATCCACGGAGTGGCTCACGACTGTCTGGACCTCCAGTCTCGGGGATCCACTGCCCCCTTCTGGCCTCCATGGCCTCAGGCACATGTGGTACACAGATGTGCTGTGCAGACAACACTCCCATATGCATAAAAAGGAGCCAGGAGTAGCTCACAACTCACCCAACCCTTGGAGGTGAGGGCAGGAGTTCGCGGCCAGCCTGCACACATCCTGAGACCCTGTCTCAAAGGGAAACTAGTGAACGAACAAAGCAGAGAAAGGGGATCGAGATGGTTCAGTGGGTAAAGATGCTTACTGCCAAGTCAGCATGACTTTATCCTTGGGAGCCCATGCAGGGGAAGGAGTTCCCTCCTTCCCCCAAGATGTCTTCTGACGGCCACACATCCGCCACGGTATGCACGTGTACAGACAAACACACACGCTAGATAAATAATATAAAACGATTTAAAACGGAGGCATATGCAATGTACCTAGCAGGAAAAGAAGTGACAGACACGTCTCCGATTCCTTTCACCACAGACATGACTTTGTCCAGGTCTTGGGTGTGACTCACGTTGAATTCTAGCCGGTGAGCTCCCTCTGTGGGGCAGGTGGGAGCTGTGGAAGGGTGGATGGGCCTGGCGGTACCAGCTCCTGAAGGAAAAGTTATGGGGAAGTCAAGGCTTTCGCAATGCTTTGGAACTAAAGAGAGAAACTACTCTGCGTAAAATCTGTTTGAAATGTCTCAGAATTCATTTTCCTGTATATGTGTGTGTGTGTGTGTGTGTGTGTGTGTGTGTGTGTGAACATACATACATAACCATTAGATCTCATTACCAGTCACAATAATCTAAAGATTTGGTCTGGACATATATAAAATAAAATCCATTTTCACAATTATTTTCTAAAAGACTCATATTTCAAGAAATTCCGTACAAAAAAGACAGAAACAGAAACACTGATTTTTTTTTTTTAATTATCCACTGTTTGGTCATTCAAACCAAAGTATAGATCATATGTCCTTATGTGTTGAACACATTGATAAAGACCATTTTGTTGTCGAGACTTCGGTCCAAGGCCAGGTGTGGTGGCGTACACCTTTAGTTCCGGAACTGGGGAGGCAGAGGCAGAGGCAGGTGGATTGCCAGGGGTTGGAGGCCAGCCTGGTCTACAGAGTAAGTTCCAGGTCAGCCAAGACTACACAGGTAGACTGTCTCAAAAACAAAAACAAAAACCACCCAACAAACAAAACAAAACAACAATACAATCGCTTTAGCCCAGAATGAACACCAGAGTCCTGACTGTGCTGGATGCAGGCATCCGGGGAGATCCTGACGCTGTGTGGGGAGTGGTCGGCATGCTTCACGTTCTAGCACTGGAAACTGAAGCAGGAGGATCTCCAGTTTGAGGCCAGACTGATCGACAAAGTAAGGCCCTTCTCCAGGTAAGGTAGGGGAGAGCGGATAACTCACTGGGTAAAGGTACTTGTCACGTGAGCCTAAGGACCCGAGTTCAGTTCCAGAAACTCGCCGTGGGAGGAGAGAATCCATTGCTGAAAGTTGCCCTCTGACCTCCACAGATGTGTGCGCCCATAGTCACACAATAATAACAAAGATTTCAGCAAACACGTAAGTTATCGGCCTCATCGAATGAAACTTCCCAGGACTGAAGAACAAAGGAAGGTTTAGCATACAACCTCGCGTGTCTGCATTCAGAAACTCCCAAGGTCAGTTCCAAAAAACAAAACCTTGTAGAAGTCCCATAACCGCGACTTTTACAAAACAAAACAAACGAAAAATAATAATAGCAAAGATAAATAAATAAAAACAACAACCAACCAGAGCAAAGCCTGGGTGTCTACGCAGCGAACCTATGTAACATGACTCTGCCCGAGCATCTCCTGTGCATGCTGGGGTGCGGACACTGTGCCAGCTGACTGAACAATCATGAAGACACCTAGCAACGAAGACCCACTCTCTGATGAGATTTTCGGGGAAAAAAGCGGGGAGTCTGTGCTAGGGTGAGTTGGTAAATCGTGATTGGCCGTGTTAGCCAAATAATGAATTCTGATCGCTGGACCTTGGTGTTTTATCTTAGGAATAAGTCAATGGACAAATAAGGGACTGGATTTCAGGGGCTAGCGTTAGGGATGTCATTTAACAAGCAGCAAGGGGGTGGGGGTAAAAGGCAAAACCTACTGGTTCCATGTTTGCCATTCGAGCCTGCTAGAGCCCTTTATCACATGACTGTAACTCTAGAGAATCTTGCGCCCTCTTCTGGCCTTCATGGGCACTGCACACATGTGGTGCACTTACATACAAGCACACAAAACACTCAACAGATATAAAAATAATAAATACATTTTCAAATGAAATTAACTACAAAATTTAAGCAACACATTACTTTTAGTACTATATAAAAGAGGAAAAAAAAGAAAAAAGAAAAATCCATTTCCCCTAAAACAATTTAAAACTTTACTAGGAAGACAGTCTAAAATTTCAAATTATTTGTAGGGAAATCATTAAATAAGGAAGGACACAAGGTTTCTTACCGAGCCCTTTGGCCAGCCAGGTGTTGACTCCCTGGGGTGCGGCGTCATAGGCCGTGTGGGGAGAGTAGATGGCGACCCTGTTCTCCAGGGCCCGGATAACCAGGCGCTCCTTCCAGGTTTTCCAAGTTATGTGCTTCATGGCGCGGAAAATCGGTGGGTGGTAGGAGAGAATGAGATCCGCCTTCTTTTGCAGGGCCTCGTCCATGACCGCCTCGGTCAAGTCATTGGTCAGGAAGAGCGTACGGACTGTGTGGGGCGGGCTCGGTTCCACCAGCAACCCCACGTTGTCCCAACTCTCGGCAAAGGAGAGAGATGCAAAGTCATTTAAGGAGGAAAGGAGGGCCTTCAGATCCATGAAGGAACAAGAAGAACTGCAGACCCGGGACAGGGCGAGCCGGATGCCTGTAGGGAGCCGGAGTGCAGAAGGCAGCATACAGAAGCCTGGGTGTCTGGAGTCAAAACACAGGAAGCGGTATTTACGTATAGATCCGTTCTGCCCTTTGAGGCTAAAGCTGGAGTAAGAGCTGACAGATTCAAATGGTGGCTCTGCCGATCCACAGCAGGTTGGGCTCAGCTAACTCATTTGACGTCTTAACTTTGGGGTTGACTTTGAGACAGGATTTCTCCATGTAGCCCTGGCTGTCCTGGGACTCGATCTATAGACCAGGCTGGCCTCGAACTCACAGAGATCTGCCTGCCTCTGCCTCCCAAGTGCTGATATTAAAGGCGTGCAACAACACCACGCAGCTTAATTTATCTTCTCATATACAAAATGGAGACATGACACATAGATTAATAGAACTGGGTTAATTTAAGATGTAAGGGTTAGTTAATAAGAACCCTGAGCTAATAGGCCGAACAGTGTTGTAATTAATATAATTTCTGTGTGATTATTCGGGTCTGGGTAGCTGGAAAATGAGCAGTCTCTGTTTACAAAATGGGGCTCCCTGTCTGGCTTTACTTTGCTAAGCCATTGGCCGAAACAACTCTATTCATCAACCAATAAAAGCAATACGCAGACGGAAGGACATTCCACATCACGTACCTCACAGCCTTCTAGAGAACCGAATGCATTAGTATGTCACCTAGAAAAGCCCGATAAGATACAAACGCTCATCATCCCTTACATCCATGTTACCCTCCCCATCATAGCGTCACACGAATAGCCTGTATCTCTGCGCCGCACTCACAAGCACAAACACACACACAAATATATACACGTATACTTAAAACGAACATATTTAAGGGGCTGGAGATGTGGCTCAGCTGATAGAATGCTCGCCTAGCATGCATAAGAGTTCAGTCCCCAGCACCATATAAACTGTCTGGGTATGGTGACACATGTCTGGGTGTGGTGGCACTTGGGAAGTAGGAACAGCAGGATCTGAGGTTCAAACTCACCCTCAGCTATCCAATCAATTCAGGGCCAGCCTGGGTTACACAAGACCCTGCCACAAACAGTATTTAAAATTTAAAATATTGGGCTGGAGAGATGGCTCAGTGGTTAAGAGCAGTGGCTGTTCTTCCAGAGGTCCTGAGTTCAATTCCCAGTAACCATATGGTGGCTCACAACCACCCATCTGGTGCCCTCTTCTGGCCTGCAGGCAGACATACAGACAGAACACTGTATACATAATAAATAAATATTTTTTAAAAATATGAAATATTGAGTGCACGAGCAAGACACTGAGGCAAACCGGTCACTTCACAAATGAGCAGAGTCAAGCCAAGAAAAGGCCAGAGCTGCCCCTGAACAAGCACTAACTGCTTGTATCTAGGGCATTTACCTACATATTCTGTGTCTGAGTAGCGGGAGGGCAGAGACAAAAAACAACCAAACAACTCAAAATATGAGAGAGATATTTACTGTGTGATGTGTAATCTGAGAGTTAATAGTAGCTTCGGAGAAAGGAAGTGTGTGGGCCTCACCCAGCCATCGGGGGACCTGGGAATACTTAGCAAGGTGCTACCAACAGTGCTGACGAACCTTGTGATTGATTTTATTGTTATTCAAGAAATCTCTATTGTGAGAGGACATGAATGTGTCCGTCTATGTTTCTGACACAATACAGACACATTCAAAATATCATTTGAAATAAAACGGGGTCTCCTGAGACCTTGAGAGGACTCCATCGCCAATGCTACACCCGTCCACTGCCAGGAACTTGAAAGTGAAGCCTCGCTAGTTGAGTGTGAATGAGAACTGGAAAGATGTCTTGTGAGACGTATAGTGGAGAGACTCAACTGTTTCAAGCCCAGAGTCGAAATCTTGGAATCTCTTTGGGCCATTTGCTAATTTTAAGCTGCACGAGCGCTCTCTTTGCACTCGTGTCTGGCTCGGATGCATGCATGGTTCAAGGCTTTTTCCAGGATAATCAAGGGCCACGTGGCACAGCCTTGCATCCTTGCATCAGGACCGTCACCCCCTCCTGCAGCAACAGGGTGTCCGCCCCGGTCGCTCCTGGCCTCGCCCTAGCCAGCTCCCTAGAATCCCTGCAGCGTGGTGAACCTTTCACACGTCCCCTACTCACCAGTCCCGGAGCCCCTTCTTGTGCGTCACTTCCGCTCCGCCCGGAAGTACGGTGGGCGGAAGTGGTCCGGTGTATCTGGCATCCGATTCTCCTTTCATTTGTGCACTTGATGCCCGCTGCGCCTGTGTTTTATTTCCAGGGACTTGATCGGAGTTGTATACTAGTACTAGTGCCCGCTACTACGGGTAAAGCAAATAGGGAGGGCGTACGAGAAAACGCTTTTAAATACGATCGTCAGGTTAGTAAGGCCTGGGGTTTGAAAAAAAAAAAAAACCCTGCGAAGTGTGAAGTTTATTGCACACACGTCTTAAGTAAAGTCGGCGTCCTGGGTAAAGGGAGCGCCGGTGCCCAGCTAGACCAGTATCCGGACGGGGGGGAATATGTCTAGTAGCCTGCAGAAAGAACCTTGAAGAAAAATGAGCAAAGAAAGTAGAATGTTGAGGGGAGCGCTTGTTGCGTTGGGTAGGATCTCAACACTTCTGTGATCGGATTTTTATTTAGAGGATGCTATCCTGAGCTTATTGTAAATCTACCGTAATGATGGAAAAATATGGCGGGAAAAATAGGGCTGAAACGAATTCCTCCTTCTTTTAGGATTAGGAACTCATCTTCAGGTTTTCTCTGCAAGTCGCCCCAGAACCATCGAGAAAGAGAGGATGGTAAGTATTGTAGAATTCTTCTAGCTGGGTGTTTGCTTGCTTTTAACCCTGTCGGATTCCCTGGAGCTGGAGCTACTGGCTGGTGGGAGTGCTGGGAACTGGTCGGGTTCCCCTTTAAAGCAGCAGGTGCTCTCTATTGCCAGACCATCTCTGCAGCCCATTACAAGTTTTTTTAATTATGATTTTTTTTTTTAAGAAGTCAGATGAGGTACTGAGTGTGTAGCTCCGTGGTGGAGTGCTTACCTAGGATGAGCGGAGAGGGGGGCTGGGGAGAGATATGTGTACTAGGCTGGGCAGGACAGAGTAGAATCGTAAAAATTCAAAGTAGGAATAGTTATTTCAGTTATAATGGTTGTATCCGAAATTTAGCAGAAATGCCATTTTTTCGTGTATATGAATCTTTTAGAGATTTTTGTCCTGCTTTTGAAATAAACTTGGAAAAATGAGTGTGACTTGTCTCTCGGAGCCACTTCATGTGAACAAGTCAACTTTAATGTCTTTAATCAGATTGCCTTCTTAAATATCCAGTCAGAAATAAGACAGAACCTGTAGTTACTGGAAGGAATGTCACCTGTTCTCACAGTGTCCTTTTTTTTCAGTCTGTGACATTGCATACAGATGTGGGAGATATCAAAATAGAAGTCTTCTGTGAGAGGACACCCAAGACGTGTGAGGTGAGTGTCGTAATGTGGTGACTGACGCGCACCTTTAAGACCAGCACTCAGGATGCAGAAGCCAACCTGGTCTATGTAGTGAGTTCCAGGCCAGGCAGAGCTATAGAGTGAGACCCGTACTTAAACAAAAACACTCTGATGTAACAGGACAGCCACTTTGAAATTGATTTATCCAGCCTGGGAAGTTAGAAAGCTTTCTGTGGGCCCGCTGTCAGGAGGGGGTCCCGTGGTTGCAGGGGTAGTCTCCACTTGTGACGTCAGAGTCGCTGTCAGGAGGGGCTACCGTGGTTGCAGGGGTAGTCTCCACTTGTGACGTCAGAGTCGCTGTCAGGAGGGGGTACCGTGGTTGCAGGGGTAGTCTCCCCTTGTGACGTCAGAGTTAATGAAAAGGGGGTTGGCTCAGCAGGGAAGAGGGCTTACTGTATAAATGTTGGGTGGTCATGCTCACCTGTAACTCAGTGCTGGTGGGAAGAGGATTACAGGGTCTTGTACGCCAGCCAGCTCCGGGTTTGGTGAGAGACCCTGTCTCCCAGGGAGAAGCATGAGGGTGATAGGTTAGGATACTCTTCCTTCTCTGGCTTCTGCATCTGCACAGGGGCTTGCTTACCTACCTACACACACACATGGATGCACATACTACATGCATACCACACTAAAGATATAAATTGGTAGGTACTTTCTCTGTCACTATAAAGTGTCCAGTATCTTTTTTTCTTGTGCCTCATTTTTTCAGGAAATATGATTAAGACATAAGAGAATTGTTCTGTAAATACTTAGCCTGTTGAGATGGCAAGGACAAAAGGAAGAGGAGTCAGCTATTGTTCATCCCTGCAGTAATTTGTCAGAAGACTTTCCAGCCATGTCTAGGGTACATGATGAGCAAGAGACATTCCCTACCCTCGGGTACTGGAACTCCAGTAGGGAATCAAATAACCGCAAAAGAGTCCATTCCTTAAGATATGCAGCGTGCGGGCCTTCCCAGGACCTGCTGAAGACTGACCATCCTAACCCCGGCGAGGAGAGTGGCCAGCGCCTGGAAGTCACAGTTACGTGTGCCACGATCACGTCTTCGGGGGCTAGGATTGCACGTTTATCTGAAGTACGTTTCTGCCAAATCTGTTTCTCAGTCATTCTTTTTATCTCTTCAGAATTTCCTGGCTCTTTGTGCCAGTGATTACTACAACGGCTGTGTGTTTCACAGAAACATCAAGGGTTTCATGGTTCAGACAGGAGACCCGACAGGTGAGTGTTTCCACTAACTGAACTTAGTCATATGGAAAAAAGTATCTACAATAACTGAGAAATAAAACAGGGAGGCTATAACAAGGCTACTTTGACAGTAGCAGAAACGTTTAAGGGCTTTGTTTCTTTAAAGATGATTGATTCTTAGGCTGGGCTGTGGTGGTGCACGGCTTTAGTCCTACCACTCAGGAGTCAGAGGCAGGCGGATCTCTGAGTTTGAGGCCAGCCTGGTCTACATAGGAAGTTCCCGGACAGCCAGGGCTACTCAGAGAAACCCTGTCTCGAAAAAAAAAAAAAATGTGTATTTATTTCTAAGTATTTTGCCTAGATGTATGTAAGTCACTGCGTGTGTATCTGGTGACTGCTTAGGTCAGCAGAAGGAAGGTATCAGCTCTCCTGAAACTGGAATTTTAGATGGTTTTGAGCCAACCATGTGGATGCTGGGAATTGAACCCAAGTCCTCTGTAAAACACTGAGTGTTTTTTTTTTCTTTTTCTTTTCTTTCATTTTTTTTTTTTTTTTTTTTGAGACAAGGTTTCTCTGTGTAGGTCTTGGAACCTGTCCAGGAACTCATTCTATAGACCTAGCAAGATATTTTTAGAAGGAGGTATTAGCCTGCAACTATAAAATATGATCAGTTATTAATGAGGGGTATTTTCTCCTTGTTGGGAGGATTTTACTTTTCTGGTCTGTACTGTTAATTTGGGGTAAGTGCTCGAGGCCAGATGGTGTACAGATCTATCATCTCGGGTACCTGGAAGGCTGAGACAGGAGGGTCATAAATTCAGGGTCAACAGGTTAACTAAAGAAACCCTACCTAAAAGTAATAAAAGGAAAAGAGATGGGAATGCTGGAGATACGTAACTCAGTGGTAGTGGTCGGACACTTGTGTAGCATCTGTGGAGTCCTGTGTGCAGACCTTAACAGCTCTCTCTTCCCCGCCATTCTGCTAGGGCTGGAGATGTGACTGTGGTTGTGCACTTGCCCAGCTTGTGCATTACCCTGGGTTGGAACCCCCCCATATAAACAAACAAACATATAAAGTGGTCCTCCCGCTCGTCCTGGAGCCCACTGAGGTCTGGTGAGAGGCTCCTGCTGATCGGCTTGTCTTGTTCCCCAGGCACCGGACGGGGAGGCAGCAGTATCTGGGGCAGGAAGTTCGAGGACGAGTACAGCGAGTATCTGAAGGTACAGCCTGTGCTTCCTGCTTACCCGACAGCACACACTGATGTCGTTGTGAGCCAGGTGCTACGTCCATGGTGCACACCTGAAATCCTACTACTTGGGAAGCAACAGCAGGCGGGTCTCTGAGTTTGAAGCCAGCCTGGTCTACACAGTGAGTTCCAGGCCAGCGAAGGCTACACGGTGAGACCCTGTATCAACAGATAAATACTTTTTGGAGCGTTTGCATCCTCAGTGAGTGACACCCAGAGTGTAAGTAAGTGGCACTTCTAGCCCAGCATCGACTCTGGTGTCTGTGTCACCTGCATCAGGACATGCAAGGAGCTTGTCCTTATGTCCACTGTCAGGTGGTCAGCCCGTAACACAGGAAAGGGCTCAGCCTCCCATCGTGAAGCTTGAGTTAAGTGACGTGAGTCACTGGCCGTCCATCTTTGGTTTCTGTTGTTCAGTTGCTTTCTGAAGGTCTGTGTAGACTTGGCTTGCCTCCCACTCGCGTGCTCCGCCTGCTTTTGCCTCCAAGTGTGGGATTCAAGGCTGCAGCACCACACCAGCCTCTCGCCGGCCTTTCTGGAAAGGGAGGAAGACTTCTTGCATTGTCAGCCATCAGCACCTCCAACTTTTTTTTTTTAAGGCTTATTTTTAATAATTTTAATTTTCTGTAGGAGTATGTGCCAACACACACACACATAGACTTAGACAAAGCAGTCATAAACATAAAATTTTAAAACTTAAAAATGGTGGGGGCTGGAGAGACGCTCAGAGGTTAAGAACACTGACAGCTCTTCCAGAGGTCCTGAGTTCAATTCCCAGCACCCGCATGGTGGCTCATAACATCTGTAATGAGATCTGGCGCCCTCTTCTGGCCTGCAGCATACATGTAGGCATCTCTCCAGCCCTCTAAGAAACTATTTTTTATTTAAAAAAAAGAAAGAAGAAGAAATAACTGGTGCCAGTTAATAGGCAAATGCTGAAGAAGATGCGGCAGGAGGATGACTAACTTGAGACCAGTCTAAGATATCTCTCTCTTGATCTGGGGACATTACTGTTGACAGAGTGCTTGACCAGCAGGCAGGAAACCTTGGGTTTGCTCCCCAGAGCTACATGAACAAGGCATGGTGTGCACACTTGTAATCCCAGCGTTAGAGAGGTAGCGGCAGGAGGATCAGAAGTCCAAGTTCAGTCTCAGCTACATAATGAATCTGAGGCTACCCTGGGCTCCATGAGACCCTGTCAAAAAAAAACCATTTTCTTACACACCAGAGTTGAGAATGGGAATTAAAGGTTCACATGCTCTATATGCCAGGGAGCTCTTGTACATACACTCCAAGAGACACACGCCTTTAAGTAGGAAACGAAACCCTTTAGCGTATTCAGTAGCGAAAAGGCTTCCTTCAGTCTATGTGCTGTGTGGCTCAGTCTGGTCTCACTCGCAGTCCTCGTACCTCAGCTCCCCTCATGCTGGAGTTCATGTGCTTTGCTGCTGGTGGCTGGGCGCCTCTGCTGGTGGCTGGGCGCCTCTGCTGG